ATAATCCAAGGGGAACTAGAAAATGTCAGGCACAAGAAGATGGAGGATGTCTAGGTCCAGGCTTTCGAGAGCAACTTCATTTATGTGTTTGTGTGACACTGTATCTGTGAGATGCAGACCAAGTCTGATGAAGGCTTTAAAAAAAAAAATTCCAACCAGACAGATCAGATTGGCAACAGAGGTAAAAAGTGACTCTTGTGCAGTCTGATAAGAAACATTTTAAAACTTGTCACATAAAACATTCTGTTATGCTTCAGGCTGTTGAAAATAATTTCATGCACAGGAGCATAGTCACCTGCGGCAATTCTGTTGTTCTGCAATAGCCTTAGGACAAATGAACAGCTTGGAGGTGGAAAATTTGGGTTATCATATAATTGTAATCAATACCCAGACTGAACAAGAGTGATTTGGTAGAGTGAGAACAGTAGCAATGTGGATTAACCTACTTTTACTTTTTAATATCTACCCCAAAGATCAAAGAGTATTTGTCATTGAGAAAATTTCAGACATTCCTTAAAAAAGCACATTTCTTTTTAAAAAAGTTGACCTGTTCTGTGTTTATTCCACACGATTTTCAAATGTATTCTGTTTTATCAACAAATTTGCTCAATCATCTATGAGAAAGGCTAACAAATAACTCCAAGACTTCAAATGCTTTTATGCAGAAGAGGGAAAATAGTCAAGTCACTTAGGCATTTGCATCCAGATTTCCTGTTATACCTCCAAACCTAAGTGTTTCCCTGAATATTGACCTTGAGAAAGGGGCTGGAATTAAAGACTTAGAGGGAGCCAGGGGAAATGACAAAAGCTCTTATGCTCTCTCTCTTATCTCAGCAATTTGGCATTTTGCCTATGGAGAACTAGTCATATCAGACCTTTTTTCCCCCAGATATAGATCAGCTGAAATTAGTGACAGAAGCATTATCAGAATCAATTTGATTACAGCAAGTTCAGCATCAAATGAAAGTGGGAGAAGGTGATTGAGCTACATTTCCCCAAAGCTTCCTTCTGTATTCATAGTAGTTATGGAATCAACTCATACATCCCCAGAAAGTTTAAGATTGATAAGAGGAAAAGACATTCAGGTGTTTGGTTGGTTGGTTGGTTGGTTGATTTTGAGACAGGGTCTCACTCTGTAGCCCAGGCTGGAGTGCAGTGGCATCATTGCTCACTGCAGTCTCAACAACCCAGGTTCATGTGATTCTCCTGCCTCAGCCTCCAGAATTGCTGGGATTATGGGTACCTACATCACGCCCAATTAATTTTTTTGTATTTTTAGTAGAGAAGGGATTTCACCATTTTGGCCAGGCTGGTCTCAAACTCGTGACCTCAGGTGATCCACTCATTTTGGCCTCCCAAAATGCTGGGATTTCAGGTGTGAGCCACTATGCCCAGCCCACTCAGGTGCTTTTTATCTCAACTATTATCTCTAATTTTTCCGGAACAATCACAGAATATTTCTCTGAACCTGTTAGCTGAACAATGCTTTAAAATTTTGGTGCTGAGATATTATAAATTATTAATTAGATGGTCAAAAGGCAGTGTCAGAAGTTATTTCGAATTTCATCATATTGTTGAATTGTATTTTTTTTGCTCAAACATTAAATAATGGCTAAGATAATTAATGAGACATGAATATATACATTTATCTACTGTGCTTTTGTTTAACCTTTTAAGTAGCCCTGTTATTTAAATGAGCGTTGCTGTGTGGGTTTCACAAGCACCAAACTTTAGCATGCTAACAATTTTAATTATTCACATTTGGTCCTGAGCTGTAACATGTGAAACCCAGTAGAAATGTGGGAGGATTAGGGCCAAGAGCGGTAGGTCAGCCTGTAATCCCAGCACTTTGGGAAGCCGAGGTGGTCAGATCACTTGAGACCAGGAGTTTGAGACCAGTTTGGCTAGCTAACATGGTGAAACCCTGTGTCTACTAAAAATACAAAGATTAGCCCAGTGTGGTGGTACGTGCCCATAGTCCTAGCTACTTGGGAGGCTGAGGCATGAGAATAGCTTGAATGTGGAAGGTGGAGGTTGCCATGAGCTGAGATCATGCCACTGCACTCCAGCCTGGGCATCAGAGTGAGACTCTGTATAAAAAAAAATGAATAATTTTAAAAAGAAAAAAATGTGGTAGGATTAATTAGACTGTCACCAACGGAAATTGTTAGCCAAGTTTACACCTTTCCTTTACCTGTCAGGTCATGGTGAGGTCTTATTTTTCCTCATCTGGATTCAGCAATAACAAAAATGACCAGCAGATATAGAACGGTCAATGAGGTCAGCGAATTTGTAGTGGCCTCTTCTGGAGAGATGTGGGAGGGACTATTTTCTTGTCTCCTCTAGTTATTCTATATATCAAGAATATTCCATGGAGTCAGAGTGTGCTGAGAATGTCTCAGAGGGTAGAGGAAGTAGAAAATACCCAGGGACATTGTAGGCAACATTGGAAACCCTGGAGATTATCTAGCCTTGAAGCATGCAAGCCTAATGAGGGCTTTGGGTGAGGACTCTGGGCAGAGAGCAAACATCTGAAAACTAGTACATGGATTGCCTAATAAAAGTCTGTGATTATAAAAGTCCACCAATTTTTATTTGTTTGTTTTTTTACACAGTCTCACTCTGTCACCTAGCCTGGAGTTTAGTGATGGGATCTGGGTTCACCCCAACTTCTGCCTCCCGGGTTCAGGTGATTCTCCTGCCTCAGCTTCCTGAATAGCTGGGATTATAGGTACCTACTGTAAAAGTTCCTTAGCTCTTCAAACCTGTTTGTGATGCCTCATAAGATTTTATATATTTACACATATAAATATATAAAATAGGCCAGGCATGGTGGCTCATGCCTGTAATCCCAGCACTTCTATATATAAAAATGTGTGTGTTTGTGTGTGTGTGTGTATTTGTGTGTGTACACACAAAAATAGGCCAGCCATGGTGGCTTACACCTGGAATCCCAGCACTTTGGGAGGCTGAGGTGGGTGGATCATTTGAGGTCAGGAGTTCAAGACCAGTCCGGCCAAAATGGTGAAACCCCATCTCTACTAAAAATACAAAAATTAGCTGGGTGCTGGGTGGTAATGGTGGGCCCGTGTGGTTCCAGCTACCTGGGAGGCTGAGGCAGGAGAATCGCTTGAACCTGGGAGGTGGAGGTTGCAGTGAGCCCAGATCGTGCCACTGCACAAAGGTCTGGATGACAGAGTGAGACCTTTCTCAAAAAAAAAAAAAAAAAATATACACACACACACATACACACACACACACGCACACACGAATTTTATTCCCTGTTACTATTCTATTAACTTTCTTTTTAGAACTAGTACAACATAGTGGTTAAAAATATGTATAGATCCTGGCTGCCTAGATCTGGATACTTCTCTGCCACTGATGAGCACTAAGTATTTTAATAAATTGCTTAACCCCTATTTGCATGAGTTTCCTCATCTGAAAAATGGGGATAATAGTAATATGACATCATAGTGTTGAGATGATTGAATGGGTTTTACATGTAAAGCATTTAGAATGGTGCCTGGCTTATAGTGAAGCACTGCACTAGTGCTTCTATTACATGTTTCTTTAGAAGTATGTATTTCGAGGTAGGAGTGTGCCTACCTTAAATCAGCAGATAGCTTCCTGAGTCACTAAAAGAGAAAAGGTAACTCATAGGTAATATTCCGTGATAATTTTTGTGCAACTACTTAGAAAACTCAAGAAGGGGTACTTTTATGTGCCCCTTCTTGACTTACCATTAAAGTACCTTAGCTATTACCCTAAGTGTTTGTTATGCCTCATGCTTGGCTTTATCATTAGTTATGTAGAAAAACATAATCTTGATATCGGCCTATGCATAAAACTTACAGATTGAAAATACTGTTTTCTGCACTTAGATAGATTTTCCTCTCCAATTACTGTATTTTCTTTTGTCCAAGAATCTGATGTGAAAGTTTATAAGTTTTAGATATTTGTTTTGATTACACAAGTATTTCATGTTCGTTATAAAAATTAGAAGATATAAATAAGTAAAAGAAGAAACTATCACCATAATGCTACCAAATGATGACTGCAGTTACTTGGTGTTTTTAAACTTCTTCCTCTAAATTTCCACACCTCCATGTATATACAACATATTTTTTCTTTTCAAATTATATTTATCATACATATTGATTTATAACCTGATTGTTTCACTTTGGAATATCTCATAAACACATATCTGTATATTTTACTATAGATTTATAGAATACCTTATAATGCCTTTGCAACATTCCATTTTTTGGATGTATTATAATATTCTTTAACTACATTCCTATGTTAAGCATGTAATCTGTTTTTAATGTTGTACGTTATAAACTGAGCTCTGATAAAAATCAAAAAGGGTAGAACATTTTGCCAATTGTCAATAACCCCAGGATATCTGATTTCAGAGAATGGAACATAGCATGAGGTGCGTTTTCCAAATGTGGATGAGTTAAATGTGCTGTTTAATACTTTATTTATTAAAAACAAGGTTATTAGAGACCTGTAAATTATTTTAAAACATTTGATGAAATAGATAAAGAATGGCTATGTTTATTAGTAATGACTTCTAGACAAATTCTGATATACTAAGTTTCTTTCTTTTTTGCAACTCATTCTATGCTACAATTAGGAACTACAAAAGTGGAAAAGGAAAGTACAAACAGACATTTTGTGATTAAACAGACATTTTATGGTTTTGACGATCACCAAAAATAGCTTGAGTGGCCTGAATAAAGCATCAGACATATATAAATCTCCTTAAGTAATCATTTTTTTCCCAATATGATATAAAAAAGTTTACTTTTTTATTCAAAATTTGGGACAGTTTTTTGAAAATTTATTTTTACTTAGTTCAAAAAAATTTGTTCTTTTTCTGGTTTGGATATAGGCTCAGTGAAAAGATTCATTTAATAGATTTTATTTTAATATGCTCATGAATCTTAGAGCTAGAAGGAGCCTCTTTAATGATTTCAGAGTATTCTTTTTAAAGTCAACAAGAGAAGGAGATGGTATTTCAAAAGAAAAGAATAGAACAAAGATATAAAAGGTTGGGAAAGGTGCTAAAGGAGAACTGGAAATTAACTCTGGGATGTGGTAAAGCATCTATAACAACAATCTGCATTTCACAGTAAGTGATATTTATAGTCCATTGAATACCACTGAAAAGGAGTTCCCAGTAAGGGATGTGCATAATAAATCAGGCCACCTAAGCATTGTTGGCAGTCACATCCAACATCATATCCCTGGCTAAATGTGCTCTGCTTAGAGCAACTCCAGCAGGAACTCAGACAGCTAATGTGTGTGTGTTTTTGTAGGTAAAAAGCTGGAGCATCTTCCTTACTAGAGAACCATGATGTGAACACTCAGAGCTCTTTCTCCACTCTTTCTACCTCAAAGCCTACTGTGTGCAGTCAACACAGGTAAGAGCTTATATACCTACTTCATACTTTTTCTCATAATGGGAAATATAATCAAAGAGCTGTTCCTTAAGGCCAACTAGTCGTTCCATTTTCAGATATTTTACAAGAATTGAAAACATAAAGTTTCACTGAAATCTTCAAGGAAACACAGAACTCCTCTTCCCCATTGGCTTGGGTAGAACTTACTTTGAGCAGGATAATCTAAAAGAATACAGCTAAGGAAGTTGGTTTCTAAACTTTCTTTATTATTTTTCTCTAATGACCTCATCAACTAACCTCCCATATTTTTTTGCTAATCTTTATTTCTGAGTTTTTCTTAACAATTGCACATCCTGTAGTGACAATTTCCTTCATTAATTCTTTTGGAAAAAAGTAGTGTAAGATAAGTCACACCTGTTTCCTTGACTTAAATAGAACTTTTGAAATCAGGATGCACCTGTTCTGTCTCCAGTGAAGATAAGTTGTGACCAAGAAATTCCAGGTGCAGCTGGATAGCCAACAACTTCTACTCATGTACAAATGCTATACTTTTGTTTTACTATTGCAGTGGCTCTTAAAAAAAATACTCATTTTTATATTAATGAGGATACAGTGGTTCTTATACTCTGGTTTTGAACAGGGTTAAATATTTAAGATTTTAATTTTCTCTTTTTTTATTGTGACATATTTTACATTCCAAAAAAGTTCATTTACCAGTTTTTTTAAACTATACTTTAAGTTCTGGGGTACATGTGCAGATCATGCTGGATTGTTATATAGATATACACATGCCATGGTGGTTTCCTGCATCCACCCGCACATCACCTGCATTAGGTATTTCTCCTTATGTGCTCTCTTCCCAATTCCCCCACCCCTGCTAACCCTCCTCTAGCTCCCCCACCCCTCAACAGGCCCCAGTGTGTGATGTTCCCCTCCCTGTGTCCATGTGTTCTCATTGTTCTTGTGAGTGAGAACATGTGATGTTTCGTTTTCTGTTCTTGTGTCAGTTTGCTGAGAATGATAGTTTCCAGCTTCATCTATGTCCCTGCAAAGCACATGAACTCATCCTTTTTTATGACTGCATAGTATTCCATGGTGTATATTTGCCACGTTTTCTTAATCCAGTCTATCATTGATGGGCATTTGGTTCCTTCCAAGTCTTTGCTATTGTAAATAGTGCCATAGTGAGCATACATGTGCATGTGTCTTTATAACAGAATGATTTATAATCCTTTGGGTATATACCCAGTAACGGGATTGCTGGGTCAAAGGAATTTCTATTTCTAGGTCCTTGAGGATGGCCACACTGTCTTCCACAATGGTTGAACTAATTTACACTCTCACCAACAGTGTAAAAGCATTTCTATTTCTCCACATCCTCTCTAGCATCTGTTGTCTCCAGATTTTTTTTTTGATCGCCATTCTAACTGGCATGAGATCGTATCTCATTGTAGTGATGATGAGCATTTTTTCATGTTTGTTGGCTGCATAAATGTCTTCTTTTGAGAAGTCTGTTCATACCCTTTGCTCACTTTTTGATGGTGTTGCTTGTTTTTTCTAGTAAATTTGTTTAAGTTCTTTGTGGATTCTGGATATTTACCCTTTGTCAGATGGGTAGATTGCAAAAATTTTTTCCCATTCTGTTGGTTGCATGGTTCAGACTAATGATTGTTTCTTTTGCTGTGAAGAAGCTCTGGAGTTTAATTAGATCCCATTTGTCTATTTTGGCTTTTGTTGCCATTGCTTTTGGTGTTTTAGTCATGAAGTCCTTGCCTATGCTTATGTCCTGAATGGTATTGCCTAGGTTTTCTTTTAGGGTTTTTAGGGTGTTAGGTCTTATGTTTAAATATTTAATCCATCTGGAGTTAATTTTGTATAAGGTGTAAGGAAGGGATCCAGTTTCAGCTTTCTGCACACTGCTAGCCAGTTTTCCCAACACCATTTATTAAATAGGGAATCCTTTCCCCATTGCATGTTTTCATCAGGTTTGTCAAAGATCAGATGGTTGTAGATGTGTGGTGTTATTTCTGAAGCCTCTGTTTTGTTCCATTGGTTTATATCTGTTTTGGTACTAGTTCCATGCTGTTTTGATTACTGTAGCCTTGTAGTATAGTTTGAAGTCAGATATTGTAAGGCCTCCAGCTTTGTTTTTTTTGCTTAGGATTGTCTTGGCTATGTGGGCTCTTTTTCAGTTCCATATGAAGTTTAAGTTGTTTTTTCCCAATTCTGTGAAGGTCAATGATAGCTTGATGGGGATAGCATTGAATCTATAAATTACTTTGGGCAGTATGACCATTTTTACCATATTGATTCTTCCTAACCATGAGCAAGGATTGTTTCAATTTGTTTGTGTCCTCTCTTATTTCCTTGAGCAATGGTTTGTAGTTCTCCTTGAAGAGGTCCTTCATGTCCCTTGTTAATTGTATTCCTAGGTATTTTATTCCTTTGTAGCAATTGTTAATGAGAGTTCACTCATGATTTGGCTCTCTGTTTGTCTGTTATTGGTGTGTAGGAATGCTTGTGATTTTTGCACGTTAATTTTGTATCCTGGGACTTTGCTGAAGTTGCTTATCATCTTAAGGAGATTTTGGGCTGAGATAATGGGGTCTTCCATATATACAATGATGTCATCTGCAAATAGAGACAATTTAACTTCCTCTTTTCCTAATTGAATACCCTATATTTCTTTTTCTTGCCTGATTGCTCTGGCCAGAATTTCCAATATTATGTTTAATAGGAGTTGTGAGAGATGGCACACTTGTCTAGTGCCAGTTTTCAAAGGGAATGCTTCTAGTTTTTTTCCATTCAGTATGATATTGGCTGTTGGTTTGTCATAAATAGCTTTTATTATTTTGAGATATGTTCCATTGATGTCTAGTTTATTGAGAGTTTTTAGCATAAAGGGCTGTTGAATTTTGTTGAACACCTTCTCTGCATCTATTGAGGTAATCATGTGGTTTTTGTCTTCGGTTCTGTTTATGAGATGGATTACATATATTGATTTGTGTATGTTGAACCGGCTTTGCATCTCTGGGATAAAGCCAACTTGATCATGATGGATAAGCTTTTCGATGTGCTGTTGGATTCAGTTTGCCAGCATTTTATTGAAGATTTTCACATCAATGTTCATCATGGATGTTGGCCTGAAATTTTCTTTTTTAGTTGTGTGTCTGCCAGGTTTTGGTATTAGGATGATGTTGGTCTCATAAAATGAGTTAGGGAAGATTCCCTCTTTCTGTATTGTTTGGAATAGTTTCAGAAGGAATGGTACCAGCTCCTCTTTGTATGTCTGGTATAATTTGGCTGTGAACCCCTCTGGCCTTGGTGTTTTTCTTTCTTTTTTTTTTTTTGGTTGGTAAGCTATTAATTGCTGCCTCAACTTTGGACCTTGTTATGGTCTATTCAGGGATTCAACTTAGTCTTGGGTAGGTGTAAGTGTCCAGGAGTTTATCCATTTCTTCTAGATTTACTTGTTTATGTGGATACAGGTGTTTGTAGTAATCTCTGATGGTAGTTTGTATTTCTGTGGAATTGGTGGTCCTATTCCCTGTATCATTTTTTATTGCCTCTATTGGACTCTTCTCTCTTTTCTTTTTTATTATTCTGGCTAGCAGTCTATCTATTTTGTTGCTCTTTTAAAAAACCAGCTCCTGGATTCATTGATTTTTTTGAAGGTTTTTTTTGTGTCTCCATCACCTTCAGTTCTGCTCTGATCTTAGATATTTCTTGTCTTCTGCTAGCTTTTGAATTTGTTTGATCTTCCTCCTCTAGTTCTTTTAATTGTGATGATAGGGTGTCTATTTTAGATCTTTCTTTGATTCTCATGTAGGCATTTAGTGTTACAAATTTCCCTCTAGACACTGCTTTAAATGTGTCCCAGAGATTCTGGTACATTGTGTCTTCATTCTCATTGGTTTTGAAGAACATCATTATTTCTGCCTTCATTTCATTATTTATCCAAAAGTCATTCAGGAGCAGGTTGTCTAGTTTCCATGTAGTTGTGTGGTTTTGAGTGAGTTTCTTAATCCTGAGTTCTAATTTGATTGCATTGTGGTCTAGAGACTTCTTGTTTTGATTTCTGTTCTTCTGCATTTGCTGAGGAGTGATTTACTTCCAATTATGTGGTCAGTTTTAGAGTAAATGCAATGTGGTACTGAGAACGATGTATATTCTGTGGATTAGGGTGGAGAGTTCTGTAAATATTTATTAGGTCCTCTTGGTCCAGATCTGAGTTCAAGTCCTGGATATTCTTGCTAATTTTCTGTTTTGCTGATCTGTCTAATATTGACCGTGGAGTGTTAAAGTCTCCCACTATTATTGTGTGAAAATCGAAGTCTCTTTGAAGGTCATTAAGAGCTTGCTTTATGTATCTGGGTGCTTCTGTATTGGGTATATATATATTTAGAATAGTTAGCTCTTCTTGTTGCATTGATCCCTTATATAATACCTTTCTTTGTCTCTTTTGCTCTTTGTCGGTTTAAAATCTGCTTTATCAGAGACTAGGATTGCAATCCCTGTTTTGTTTTTTTTTTTTTTCCTCTCCATTTGCTTGGTAAATCTTCCTCCATCCCTTTATTTTGAGCCTATGTGTGTCTTTCCACATGAGATGGGTCTCTTGACTAGAGCACACCAATGGGTCTTGAGTCTTTATCCAATTTGCCGGTCTGTGTCTTCTGATTGGGGCATTTAGCCCATTTACATTAAAGGTTAATATTGTTATGTGTGAATTTGATCATTTTTATACTAGCTGGTTGTTTTGCCCATTAGTTGATTCAGTTTCTTCATTGTGTCAATGGTCTTTACCATTTGGCATGTTTTTGCAGTGGCTGGTACTGGTTATTCCTTTCCATGTTTAGTGCTTCCTTCAGGAAGTAAGCAGGTCTGGTGGTGACAGAATCTCTCAGCAATTACTTGTCCTTAAAGTATTTTATTTCTCCTTCACTTATAAAGCTTAGTTTGGCTGGATATGAAATTCTAGGTTGAAAGTTCTTTTCTTTAAGGATATTGCATATTGGCCCCCA